TTAATTCAGTTTTCAGAATTGTTACAGCGAAAAGATGGCAATAATTGTTTCTTTAGAGAATTCGAAACCCAAATATTCAGTACAGAATAATACAAACTGTTCAGGATGATAACAAATGGATTACTTAAATATGAAATCACATTTAAAAGCAAAGTTTGAGGTTCGGTCACAGTACCCTGGTTGTAAATGCTTCAATATTCAGAGTTTGAGACGTTATTATTTTGTAGTCTTTTCCGATCCTTTCGAATTAAAATTCTAGTATTTAGCTTCTCACTTTGACTGATTTTTTAATTTTTAATTTTCTCTGGAAGATTATTTTCATTCTTTTCTCGCTTTATTATAGTATAAAATGAAACAATTTTGGTGAATAACCATTTATGTCAAATTATATATCACATTTTGTTGATCTGGTAGTTATCATGTGCTGAATGTCAAGTACTTTAGCGAGATTAGAAGTATAAAATGAAATACAATTGCTGAATAATATATTTGTCCCACGTGCAGGATTGTGGATGCTCACTGCTGAGGAGTCACATACTAGGATGAAACTACCTTTCAGTACTTCTAGGTTTTACATTGGTCGTATAACAGTGATCGGTTTATGGTCTCAAATAAAACTCAACAATCTCCATAACCATATACTGATTATAATTGTACTTTACTGCACTGAGCATCAAAGCAGACAGTAATAAATTATAACCAGTATAATATACTTGACTCATTGTTTCCAAAATAAGTGAAAAGAATTTCAATACACAACAGTTTCTCAACAAGGTACAATTATGTTACAGTTATTTTTAATGTAGACATATGTTTATAATCTGACCCAAATATTCTCTTTCCAGCGTAGAATGTCTGAGCATTTTCATTCAATCTTTCTCTGTATATATAGTGCATGCTAATTATGTTGATGGATATAAGTAGTATGTAGCACCGATCAGAAGTGGAGTGTTTTCATGAAGAAGATTAAAAACATTGAAGTGAACAGAAGAGAGGAGAAAACTGAATCCAATCAAAATAACAACATGAATGAAGAAACAATAAATTTTTTAAGAGACAACTAGTGGAAGGTGTGCGAAAAATGTGGTTAGTTTATGATTTTCATATTTTACTAAAGAACTATGTAATTTGGTATTGGATGATAAGCTGGTTTCCTCACTTCAGTTCTTTGTTCACTAAATATGTATATATGTCGTTGAGAAGTAAAGCGCTAAGACTTGTTCATACTATATAAACGTTAATTTATTTTGACCTGATATATTTCAATGGGTTAGTTCGACATTGATTTTGATCATTATAAGTTAGAATGACTTTCATAATAACTAAGAATGTACGATCGTTATTTGTGTGAGCTTTACACAGACCGGAAAGATAATAGTAATTAACTTGCTTGCATTCATCATATATATATGCAATTTTGTCGTGAAAAATCTTTCTAAAACTGGCATATAATTAAACTTTATATTCTCATCTCATTTCTAGTTCTTTAATCATAATGTTCCATTTGTTTCCAGCTGTTATACAAATGAAATTTTTAATTACTCATTATTTTTTTATATAGTTTTTAGTAAACATTTGTAAAAACTTTAATTACCTAACTAATATTATTTCTATTGTAATATAATTTTAATTTAATTTCTTTTTCCCGCCAAAACATGATATAAATTCATTAAAACAAAAGATGGTTATTTTTCTAGGACACAAAAATAAAATTTTATGATAATCATTTAGGGTAATTAATTGGTTTCTTTCCTCTATTTAGATCCAGGTAATGTATGTATATATATGTATTCATATGTGACTAATTTGCTATTATCTGTATATTATCAGGTGTTTGTAGTATTATTTATGGAAAATTTTATTTTATTTCTAAGAAGTCGTTGAATTAAATATAGAATATTAATGTTATAGAAGCCAAAGAAATATTATTTAAAAAAATGACAGTGTAATAAATAAACCTATTTTTAATCACTGAGGGCTTTGTGGAGATTGTAGTAATTTTATAATTGAATTCATGAGTCATTTGAAGCTAGAACACAATGGAAAACCTAAAAGCATTGGATGGTCTTTTAATCCTAATATGCCACTCGTTTGCAGCGCGCATCCACGATCCCGCTCCCGGTGAGATTCGAGCCCAGGGCCTATCAGTCTCGTGCGCGAACGCTTAATTTTTGAACCACTGAGCCGGCCGTCATCCAACGGTGTTATTTAGTTAATTGTAACTATAGATAAGATATCATATTGTAGACCAAAGTTATTAAGGAGTATTGACGTATCACAAGTACCTGTTTTAGTGAATATTTGTTGAATAGATAATGGATAGTGAAAAATAAAACATTTTATTAATTATTGTTCATTTCAATAGTTGAAACCATAAGTCAACTGAAGCTAGACCACTATATAAAACCTAGAGGCACTAGACGGCCGTTTCGTCCTAGTATGGGACTCCTCAGCAGTAGCGCAATTTCATGGATTGGTTGAAGTTAGACATTAATATCGTTGGGTGCCATCAGGCTTAGTGGTCTAATGTTTAAGCGCTCGCGCGAGAGACTGATAGGTTCTGATTTCGAATCTCGGGATCATGGATGCGCACTGCTGAGGAGCCTCACAATTGAACGAAACAGCCATCAAATGCTCCCAAGTTTTCCATTGTGGTCTAACTTCAATTGATTCATGAGTTCAACTACTGAAACTACTAAAATCCCATTAAAATCCCTTCTGATAATGTTTATATAACAATTTCTGTAAAGAGGTTTATTGTAATCTCTTAATTCTGGTTTCTAAGCTTAAAATGGTTTCCATCGTTAACATTTATTAAACATCAAATTATTGATTATAGTGTGCAATATGTTTTATCAGATTATTAAATACATGAAAATAAATAATTTGATTTACACCTGGTATTTATGAAGAAAAAATAAAGTATAAATCGAATCACAAAACCATCAATTGTTAAATGAATTATTTATAATCATGATAGATAGTTCTGATTAAATGACATTTAGTTTCTACCAGGATTATTTATTTATTTACTTATTTTTGAAAATTCACTCAGATTCATTTAATTTAGTTGTAGTATTTAATGATCTAGTTCAGAATTATTAAATTTTATCACATCCTGTTACTACAGTCTTTAAAACAATTCGGGTTTATTTTTGTTACATTTGTGATATATTCCACATATTTTTTGTTGATGTAATAATGGATCTCTGATATGCTAGAATATTACTATAAAATACAACTATGGTATATAGTGTCTGAATTAATTTTCCTATATTTTTCGTTGTTTTATCATTCATGGATAGGATTTATAGAATATGTACATTTGCATATAATCATTGATCGTTACTTTAAAGCCAGATAATATGTCAACCATTATATAAGTTTCCAAGTTATTATTTATGTCTAGATGTAATAGATCTGCATAACACCACAGTTCATCAGTCTTAGTAACCTGTTAAAATATGTTAGAATTGTTATTTTTTTACAAACTATTAACTTTCATGCTAGGTGGAATGTGTTGATTTATTTTATTTAAGAAATACATGTGATAACAATGTATGAATAGTGCTTACTGTGAAGTTTCTCAATATAAAACAGAACACGTAATATAATACTTGGTGTGATGTATGGTTGACGAAAAACGATGCCCTATAGACGAATTTCGTTAACAGATCAAATGTTTTGTAGGGTGCTATATATAAAAATTAAATTTCTTCGTGATTATTCACTTTTTTTCCATTTAATCCCCAGCCTTTTTAAACCTTAATTATGTACATAAAATTAAAAGATGTAGTTTATAATTCATTTACATGAGGTCTTCTAGTTATACAATATCTGTATATCAGTATTGTCAAGATTTATTCTTCATAAATGACATTCATTGACGGGGGTGTTGTTTACGAAATTGAGAGGATGAAAAGCGAATGTCCAGTACTTTAACCGTGTTGCTGGATATGGAGAGTCCACCTAGGGAGTTGGAAAACCCTGATTCCAATGTTGCACATGGGCTGGCTCTAGTACCCTGAGAGAACAAATGGCGTATGAACCAATCGTTGGCCACCGGCTAACATGGGACTGCATCTCCTTACGATGCTCCATCCCCTTATGGATCAGACCTTTAGGTCGAAGGCTCCGAGTGTGGCCCCCTAAGAAAATCACGTGCTTCGGTTTGGGCACCCGGGCGGTATCATGGCCCTCATACATATCAAATAAGATTTTTTGGCGCATATGCAACTGGTGCCTCCTTGTACCAGTATTTATGTGTTCAAATGAATAATTCATTGGAAAACTATAAGTTCAGAAAGCATAAAATTAATTAAAATATCCCATCTAGCCTGTTGAGATCTTTTATAAATCAGTAAAAGTGCCAAATATTAATGTGAGATACTACTAATCAATATGAACTGTAAACGTTAGTCTATTACTAAAAACATAATCGGGAAAACAATAAAGTAAAACTACTCACTTCATTCTGAGGAAACTATCTCTACTTAGCTATAGATCATATACCTTTTTAAATAACTTCAAACATCTAAAAATAAAGGTGAGTGAAATAAAAAGCATTAAATTTACTTATTTTCTATTTGAATGTAATTAATGTTAAATTGAATTTCAAATAACTTTTAAAAAACATTCTTTTTTTTTCTCACTTTTTTCCTTCTCTTTGCTGAATGATCTACCATGCAAACAATTTGTTCACATTACTATTTTTTTCATTGTGAACATTATTATTCATCAACAATGATGTTGACCAATACAAAACAAAACCAAAAAAAACCGATCATCTCATCAACGTGTTTTTTTTTAATAATAATTTACTCATTTCAATCAATATTCTAATCAATACCAAATTGAATTATGTTTCCATCATTGAAATCAATCAATTTCGGGACTATCATAAAAAAAAATATCACAAAATCAATAATAATAATCATAATAACAACAAAAACTAAACTTAATTGATCGTGAAAAATTGAACTGAAATAAATTATTTATAGTTGAATGAACAAGATAAATCATTTTTAATACAACGTCCTGATCTAACTCAACCACATTGTATAAATCAAGAAAATAAATGTGCATTAGTAAGTTGATACATTTTTTATTTATTTCTATTTAAATGTATATAATTCATTTTGTTAATGTTATTTACCTGATTAAAAACGACAAAACAGTACAATCTGTTACTTTGAATTATATAATGATAAATGTTTGAAAATGAAATAGGATACATAACAAAAAGTGATCAGAATGAGGAAGTTTATCTATGAATTAAAATAAATAAAAGTTACTCGATTAATAAGAACATTTCAAGAAAGTAACAGATTAATTAGGTTTCATATTTATATTAAGAAAAATATAAAGCTTATGCATTTATACTATCAGAATCATTAGTATAGGGGTTGTGGAGATTATTAAGTTTTTGATTGAGATCATGAACCGATTGATTGAAGCACTGGACGGACGTTTCGTCCTATTGTGGAACTACTCAGCAGCGGGTATCCAAGATCCCGCTCGCAGGATTCGAACCCAGGGCCTGTGGTCTCGCGCGCCCACTGAAACACTGAGTCGCCATCCAATGGTGTTAATGTCTAACCTCAACCAATCCACGAAGTTGCTAAACCATCTTCTATTGTACTGAGGTAGACACCTGTTTCTACCCGACACGGACTAGCTCCACTGATCATGGCTTCTCACCAGAACTCCGAGAATTTTCTCACGAAGCTAGTCACTACTGAGCACATGTTAATTACTAGTATAGGGGTTGTGGAGATTATAAAGTTTTTGTTTGAGATCATGAACCGGACGTCCAGTGATTCCTGGTTTCAAAGGCGACCTAACATCAATCAGTTCATGATCTTAATCACAAACTATAAGAATCGTTTAATTAACCTAATCAAATGGTTTAATTAACTGCTAATAACTGAAATATACTGAACTAACAAAGTGTTCTAACGCAACGTCATTTCAAATAATAATGTTGGTAAAATTGCACACAAACTGATTATATTCTTTAGTAGCTTATTCGGATCAACTACAGAATTAATCATAGATTAGAATAGTCAATAATTAACTCGAATTAATCTTTAAAGAGCCTAGATTTAGCATTATTGTTCATATATATAAATATGTTTCCAGAAAAAAAAGGACACTATACTTCTCTTATAAGTTCATTTTTGTGATCATTTATCTTAAACGTATATTTGAATGCATAAAACATACAATGAATCTATACTCGAAAAAACAAATACTCATTCATTTATTTGGGTCAAAAACAAAAGTTTAATCACTTTCTTTTTAAAGACTTTAAATAAATTCTTCTATTGTATAGTCTCATTATAAAATCCTTTTTATTTTCTACTACATAGAAAGAATCGTAATTCTATTAAAGTATGTTCTACTATTATTATTATTCTTATTTATATGAGCTTTGAAATACGCCACAAAAACTAAAATAATGCTAATACAACAATGTTTGTTTTAAGGTCAAGTATTTAATGAATAACTGAAAAAACCCCCCAAAAAAAAACGAAAAAAACAAAAAAAAATAGTTTCCAAGACTGTTTTAAATAGAATAAATATGAGTTTATTAGAACAGAACTGGATTATATCATGATAAATAATAAATCATTGAATGAATTCGGTCGAATGATGTAGAATTTATAATAAAAATAAAATAAGTAAATGTAATCAATTCTATCAAACACACATATACACACGCACAAAATAAAGCGGTTGAAAGACTGTTTGTTTGTTTTTTCTTTGACCGAACAGAAAATAGGATACAAATTTTTGCCATAGTGATAAATTGAAGATTTTATTTTTAAAAAAAAGATTTTGTTGTTATTAAAATGAACCTATTCCTTGAAAGACATTAAATTGACCTTAATTATAAAGCTGAAATAAGTACTAATTGTGAACTATGTTATTTATTCATAAATGAAGTAATATATTATACAAATAAATAATTATTGATGAATAATTATTCATTTTAATGATAAAATTTTACAATAAGGAAATAGATGTATATAATAGTTCACAGGATATAAAGTCTGCAAAATGATTCACTTTACTTACTTACTTATGGCTGTTACTCCCAATGGAGCATAGGCTACACAACAGCATTCTTCAACCCACTTTGCCTTCCTTTCTAATTCGATTCAATTTTAAGTCATCATTATTTTTCAATCGTTTAACTGTTATTATAATAGAACGTGGCGTATTAAACTGTTTACTTATTTGTAATGATTGAATCTGATTCATTGAGATCTAAGCTTATCAGTATTATATGGTCTTAAAAGTCTATTTAGACTTCTGGATCATTGATACTATCAAGATCTGTTGTTATTCTGATTTGAATTGCTTTTTTTTAATATTCATATATTATTTTCAATTTAGACATGTAATAGATAATTAGTAATAAATTGAAGGAAAAACAACTGAAAAACCATATCTCAATGTAATCGTTTTTTGAATTTAGAAAGAAAATACAATAATTTCTGTTTAAATCAAATAGTTTTATCCTGTAAATAACTTTCATAACAGAGCATAGTAATGCTCATCTCAGTCCATATGTATATATCATGATCTAGCTATACATCAGAATTGTCAAAGATGCTTAACCCTAACAAATGATGCAACAAAAGTATGCATCAAGTAGGATCGTAACTTTCAGACTCAGAAGTTAGTGAATCATCATCCAAGGTTAATAAACATCACTTAAATGTATTGGTTAATGAAAACAAAAGTAGTATAATTCATTTTGATGCAGCCACATAACCTAATCAAAGAATTTAAAAAAACGTGAATGTAATGAATATGATAAAAATGCACTTAAGCGTTGTAATTTATAGCTTTGAGAATATATTGTGAAAAACTTACAAATATTACAACTATAATACGGTAAAAAGAAACAATAAATAAAATAATGAGGAATATTTAATCTAAATTCAGTAGATACAAAAGCACGAACTGCAGGAAATGAATGACGTATAATACGTAGATATGTCTAATTCCACACATATACGTGTCTATATATATCATATAGTTCATTTATAAAAAACATGAGAAACGTGTTTGTTCACTAGTGTAAGCTTGTGTTTATGTAAGCATATCTACACCAAATATATAAATGGTTATAATATTAAACAATTACAGGAATTAATAAATTAACTTCCCAGTAGGAACTCTTGTAAAATATAATTGAAGAAGATAACTAACGAGATAAATGTTAATCTATCTCTTTTAATGATATGACACTGTTAGCAATATTTGTTACTTTTAGAAATAAAATTAATTTACAGAAGTGTATTACTACTTAACAATAATTCATTTCATGAAAACAAATCTGTAAGTTGAAGAGGGTTTTGTAAGTTGAAATTATTTTATTAGTTAGTTATTATAATCAGATTTTCAGATTGTGTTAAGTGAACAAGATCCTTTTTATAATCCCATGCTAAGTTTCAAAACAATCAAGAATATTATGAGCAAAGATGGATAGTGGCTAGCAGTGGAATCTAGGACGCGCGTTTCGTCCTATTTGGGACTCGTCAGCTGGATGTACCTACATCTCAGGGTTGACGTTCACTCTGTGACTCGAACTTACTACCGTTCGCTTCAAACGCCATCGCGTTATTCACTTAGCTACTGAGTCCTGACAGCCACTTGCTTGTGCAGTGGGGTGAAGTTTAATTCACTTGATATTGTTTTACTTGAATCTTCTCATTGATGTTTTAGGACTGAAATTTATCAGTCTCTTATTGGCATATGTGCGTATGCCTCGATATTGCCTTAATTTACAGGCATTATAAGCAAAGATGGATAGTGGCTAGCAGTGCATACGCACAGTATGCACATATGCCAATAAGAGACTGATCAATTTCAGTCCTAAAACATCAATGAGAAGATTCAATTGAAACAATATCAAGTGAATTAATCAAGAATATTGTTTACAATACTTTAGCAGTGTATACTTTCAATCCTTAATAGTAACTTGAATCAGTTTCATAATAAGAATTAGCTTTAAAATTTTATACTTACCATTGATCTATTTAGAATAATGATTCATTAATTAAAATAAGTTACAAATATGTACAGTAATGTTTTTACTTAATGACTACCCCTTTTCATATACATGTAAGTGTATAAAAATGTTTTTTGTTGTTGTTACTGTTGAAAATTAAACTCTTGATTGACATTCCATCAGCAGAAATTGTTATATAAATACACTATAACAAGATTACAGTATGTAAATTTATCATTGTGTCTTAGATACAAACACTTTAACGTACTATTCACACTTCTGTTTTTGATATCAATTTCAAAAACCAAAAAAAAGACCAGAACAAAATAGAATGAATAAAACTTTCAAAATAATTGCAAATTCAATTCACATACACACACATACATACATACACAAATACACAAATAATACATTACTGTTATGTAGTTAGTAATTAAAGCTTAAATTTATAACGAACACAAATTCTTTCTTTCTTTTCTTTCTTACTTATAGTCACCTATCAATCGCTTTATTGAATTATTCTTCGTTAAAAACATCATTTTATTGAACTCATTAGTACATTTATTACTAAAACATATACTCTAGTATCGTTATTAGAATAGTAAAATAACATATTCTGTCTAATGTTTGATTATTCTCATGTAGGGAATAATTATTAATGAAACGAAAATGCATATTGAAAACAGTAACATGTGTATATACTTGTGTTAAACAAGTTACATTATATATATATATATATATATATATATATATATATATATATATATATATATATATATATATATATATATATATACATTGTAATGATACATGTTACATGAATAAACAGCTGACAACATTGTCCATATTTCCCATTTTCATTTATACACATACATACATATCAATGTTAACAAAATATGAAGAAAAGAAAAAAAATTTATCACGAATAACAATCCCTTAAGATTAATATTTTGTTCATGGTGCTGTATTTTCGTAAAACATTTTTTTTGTTTCACTAAAACAAGAGATTCAAGTTTCAATTTCTTGAAACAAAACCCTGTAGATTAAGATATATTTATCTAT